CTCTCTCTCTCTCACACACACACACACACACACACACACACACTCGCAAAATTCTACGCAAGTGATTGCTCAAGTCCTCTCTGAACCGTACGGGATACGGCTCTCCAACTTAACATCCTTTTTTTTTTTATAAGGTAAAAACTTCAGATTCGGATAGATAGCTCCCCTTCCCCCAGCCTCATCCATTCGTGACAATTAGGCGCCCCGCACACGCGCACACGCACACAGCGCATACACACACAGCAGTGAAAGAGACAGGTACTCGGCTTGGCTGAGGAGGTCAATCAATAGGATTACTAACTAGGCTACCAGAGTGGCCAGGGGTCACTTGCCCGGCCGGGCCAACAAAAATAAAAAATAAAAAATATATATTTTTCAATTTTATTTTTTATTCTAAATTTGGTGAAGAATTTCAATGTGACCCTGAGGCAAAAGTTGTTCAGTTTATTTTTCTGCATAACATAGTTTTTTTCCGAATTTTTTGGATTTTTTTTTTTTTTTTTTTTTTTTGCTGGGACCTTTTCTGGTCCTTGCACGGGCTGGCCACCCGGGACCCGGGCGGCCCGGCTGGTAGCCTAGATTACTAATTAAAAATGTAATAAGTATCACATTATAATTCTTACGTTTTAAATCATATTATCAAATGTTTATTGCCAAAAATATAGTTTTTAAAAAAGACTAGTCATGCGAAAAAGTATAACATTATTCAATAATTATTAATCCTTGACACAAAAATCTAATAAAGATTTATTACGACAAAACGTACTTCAAAAAAAAAAAAAAAAAAAAAAAAACTAAACTCCCTCACAACCGTCGCGATCTTAACCACGCATCCGTACTGTCCCGTCTCTACTAGTTCCCCTTTTGAAGAAACCGCTCATCCTCTCTCTCTCTCTCTCTCTCTCTCTCTCTCTCTCTGTCGCTCTCTCTCTCCAGACGACACCTCGTTCCATTTATTACCCTCAGGCGACATGGAATGAGCCTTATTAAAAAAAAAAAAAAAAAACGATGGCAATATTCGTTTGAAAAAAATAAAAAAATTGATGATGCAAAACAAGGATGACGGACGATTTCCGAGTCTATTGGCCAAATTAATTGGGGTATAAAAACCCCTCTTATCCATTATCTTACCCATAACCGTATCTTCTTAACTACGTAGATCAGACTGAGGGCCTACTCACACTAGTTCTATCTTATCTGTATCTGGCCGCTTTACAGCCGGAACTGGATGTATCTGACGGCAATTACGTCCATAAGTAAGCAAAAACATCCTAGTGTTGAGTCGCTTGCGATTATTCCAAAAAAAAATATATATATATATATAATTAAATGGTTAAAGAAAATCTAAATCTTCTAATACAACATGCATCCTCTTTTTCCCTACCCTCCCCCCTCCTTCATCCTTCGCCTTCTTTTTTTTTTTTTTTTTTTTTTTTTTTTT